ATCAGTCATGGCAAGGCATTTTTACCTGTTTCCAATGGCACCCTCTTGTCAACAGCACTGAATAGAAGGTAAAGTCAATACAAAACCCATAGAGAAAGAGAATACAATGACTGGTGTAGATGGATTAATGGAGTCATTTAAGGGATGCATTTCTTAAAGGCTCTTACACATTTCTTATGACTTGCCATCTTGTTAGTAATGAAGTTATGTGATCTTCTAGCTACTTAATTATTGTAATGCTTCTATAGTTGGGTTTTGATAAGGAGTTATTTAATAATCACTTTTTTCACATTCTATTTCTACCCTCCTTTATCACATAGATAATTAAAAAGAAAAAGATGTACCGCTTCTCTTTTTCTGATCAGAGAAATCATGTGGATAAAGTAACACACATGCCTTCATGTTTTCTAAGCTCTTCATTTCAAACAACAAACATCTGTTTAGACACTGAAGGTTATGCTAAACTCATTACCAGATTACGTGTAGTATGAAGAAAGACCCTATTATAAACAGCAACTTTTGAAATGCAGAGAAACAGATAAATTAAATCCTTCCATTTCAAAAGAGCAATTTAATGAAGTTCTTTTTCCTATTTTTCTCCCTTCAGAAATAAGGTTCAGGAGATTTCAGAGGAAAAGGTTTTCATTAGTAATGAGTATCTTAGCAGAAAGCTCACAGATTTAAAGCACAGAGTTCCTTTGTTCCTGTTTAATTGTCAAAGGGGACAGTGATGTTTTGATTTTGCCTTTTCCTCATTTATTAATTGCACAGAGAACTTTCATTTAGCATATTTAGTTCCTTACAGAATCAAACTCAACAAAATCAAAATGTAAATCCTGCTCAAGCTGTGACAGCTCAGACTACTGGCAAGCAGTTAAGTCTGAGTTTAAATTCATATCCAACACAGAAGTCATGATCACATAATCTGCTTTTCCTAGCCTTATAGCTGTGCTGGATTTCCACAGAGGAACACCAAGGCTGCATTTTGGATTGCCTTTGACTGACAATCCAGTCAAAGGCATCATGCTTCTGCTCAGCCTCAGTGGACATGGGCAGAGAAAGAGATGATCTCTTTTCCAGATTTCTAAAGAGCTTCACATCTTTTTAATTAATCATCACCACCATCACCACACGTGTGACAACATTCACAATACAGAAAACAGATTCTTCTTTCTTCTCAGAGGGCAAAAAGTTATTTTGGATCCCCAGCTGGCTTGAGAGAATGTAAGTCTATGAAAGTTGATAATTATTAACCCAGATATTTGCCAGCCAAGGATCTCCCTTTGAGAGTTTCAAAATAATTTCTCCTCTCCATAGCATTCAAATGACTCTTACTGTACTTTGTCCATGTAAAACTATAGTGAGTCAAAGAAGACATAATTTCTCCAACTCTTATAGCGCTGTACCAAGGAGATAACCACACTGCAACCCAGCACAGACTGAACCAAGGAGAAGTGTGAGGAGCAGGGCAGATGGGCTGTGAAGAACTGACCATACCCACATTCCCCACTCCCTGTGCCACTCAGAGTGGGGAAGAAGAGGAAATGGGGATGGAGGAGTGAAATTGAGCCTGGGATAAAGCCTGAGGGAGGAGGGGAGGGAAGGGGAGAGTTTTAGTCTTTATTTCTCACCCTCCAACTCTATATTTAGTTGGCAATACATCGAATAAACTTTCTCCTGGTCAAGCCTATTTTGCCTATCAGAGTTTCAGCCTTTCCAGTAACACATTTATAGCCATCCAGGCTCTGTTCCATATGCTCATTCAGGAAGACTCTTCTAATCAGAAGTCAAGCAAAATGGAAAAAATAATTACTGAACTGGGCCTTCAGCAGACCTCTGGCATAGTATCAAAGTCCCAGAGCCAGAGGCATGAAATGTGAACTGCCAGGTAAATTTAGTTTTACATACTGTCCCAAAGTGCTTTAATCATGGGAAATTTTGAACGTTACCATTAATGAAGAGGAAAACAATTTTATTTTAAGCAGAGTCCCATATAACTGCCATGCAGACACAGAACTATTCGCAACCCATTTGTTGCTACACATATTTACTGTGGGAATTTACTATTCACTATGAAATCCAGAGGCTACGTCTCTATATTCCTAACTCTTAAAATGTCAGTTGTATCCTTTGGTGCACTCCTCCTCCATTCCCACTCTCAATATTGCCATATCAAATTCATCAGCTTAAGGAACATTGTTACCTTGAGGAATAGCAGTCAGCTGCTTTTCCCAAAGGTACCATTGGATATAAAGTACTCCACGTCAAATGCCACACTTAAGACAGGCTACACACACCTTTTTCCTCAGTTTTGAAGGCCAAAATATGCACACAATTTTTATGCTAAATGTGTTCTCTGCCTCTTTTCCTCCCATTGTCTGCCTGCCTTCCTTCCTGGCTGCATTGTACATCCTCTAGACTTAAAAAAAAAAGCCCAAAAGCCACCCAAAACCTCACCTCTTCCAATATAGATTAGGTTCATGCAGATAACACATTAATTAAAAAGGCTGTTGCATCCTTAGTGTCACTAGTAAGATTTTTCCCCCTTCCCTCTCACAAACATTTCACTATGTGTAATGAGATTATAGTTCTCTCAAGTAGTTTTTTTTCTTCAAGTTACTTTTGAAGTCCTTGCAATCAGGTGTTTTGTTTCCTTTTGTGTTGTTTTTCTAAATAAAAGCTGTCTTCGAGTAAGACATTTCTGAAGACAAAGTTTATGAAGAAATTTTGCCATGTAATGTAGCATGCCAGCTTTCTTCTGTTTATGCCAATATTCCAGTTCACTCCCCTCAAAGACTTACCCAGGGAAATACAGACAAATCACATGGGCTGAATATTTTATCAATGGATTTTCTTAAATCTGGTGGGCCAAATCCATATATAAGTCCTCTCATTGCCACTGAACATTCAGCTGGCCCATCAGTATTTGTTTGAAAGAACTGATGGACTATTTGTCCTCTTTCCTACATTATTAATCTAAAATTTGGGATTGTTTCACACCAACTCAGAGCTGCTGGCCACAAAGTATTGTGGAAGAGCAAAGGCAGCACCCAGAACCACCCCCAACAGCATGCTGATGCTGAACTGATTTTTGCCTTTTTTCTTTTAGATTTTTTTATAAACATTTTTATAAACAAAGTTAATTACCTATGTAGAGAAGGGAGGATTTGAGAAAGATATTAACTGGGGGAATTACCTCACCAATTATAATTAGTGATTCTTGTTAGATATGCTAATGTGCAAAACCTATAAAACCATTTGCTAATGTGCAAAACCATTATGCTGTGTGTGCATCTTCAGCATTTTCCACCTGGTGAATTGTGCACCTAAGAACAACAACCATCTTGAATACATGCTTTGTCATTTCCAGATGAATGAAGGATTCTGGTGTTCTACCATAATTTTATTTACTTAAGCCCAGGAAGCATGTAATCTGTTTTAAAAACTGTGGATCAATTCTATATTAAAATACCATCACTCTGCCTACTCCTTCAAAGTGCTATAAAATATACTGATGGGAACACTGGAATATTCTCCAGGTACCATGGCTGAAACAAAACTTGCATCAGAGGAGTCTTTCTAAAAAAAAGCAATTACCACCTTCCCACTCAGTCTTCCCCAAGTACCAGGCAGTCCATATGCCATGTCATTTTTATCTTCTCTGGTTTTAGTCAAGAATATAAACCTGTGATAGATGAGTAATGCAATGATCGACTCTCACAATTAACAGACAAATATCATGTATATAGGTTAAGAAAAGTTTTATAGATTTACAGTTATGTTTTACCCCCTCGTGTTGTTATCAAGAGACAGCCAGGGCTGGGACATCTGGGTTGGCTTGTCACTGTAGTTACTTCTGACCTCCAGTCAGGATTTGAGGAAGTGATCTCCACCACTGGACAGAAAAGAAAGGGTCATTGGACAGAACTTTGGGAGGGACTAAAGGGTTGAAAGGTGAAACCTCCATTGTGTGAGCAAGCACATGGTGGGAAAATCCTTTGCTCCCAGTGCAGTAACATATTCTCTATTCAGTCTTCTGTTGTATTTTTTATAAGGTTTAATAAACCTTTCTAAAATTATTAAAAGTGAGTAGCCATTTCTCACAAACGAAAAACAAGTCACAGACTGTATGCTAAAGTCTAAGGAAATTACTAGTGTAATTGATGCAACAGAAAATAAGATGCCCTATCATGAAGACCCACATTTTATGTTACATTTAGGTTTGCCCTTGCACATGAATTTACAACTTGTGAGATGTGACTTTAGTTAAGGCCAGAGTCAGGTCTATTAGCAGATAAGATTCTCTTCTTCCTCACTGATGCAAACAGCTGCACTAGAGCCTATGTTTTTTAATAACAGTTTATTCCTGTATTTTTCTTTAGATAGAAAATATTTGTAACCACTTCATTTCATCTGCCCTGTTTTTTAAAGCACTGTGAAACATGCTATTCATACAACATTGTTAAAGGATCAGATTAGTCTCACCTAGAATCTGTTCAATAAATTGCACCAACAGCCAAAACACTATTTAACAAAAACAAACCAGTAAATAAAAGTGCAAATTAAAAGAAAGTACTCAAAGCAATATGAATTTCAAATCCAAGTAATTTGAATTACTACTCAATCACTATCAACTCAGTGTGAGAAACCATTTCAACAAAACACACAAGATTTCTATTCACAGATCTTTTCAGCTTGAGCTTGAAACAAAGTTCTCACTATCTCTATAGTTTAGATCCAGAAATTATATTACTGTACACAAACTAAGGACAGAACCCACAATTTTAGCAAGCTTTCTGGTATGTTTCAAAAATTCATGTAACATGAGACCTCAAAGGAATACCAGAGATTGTTACCAGCAAGGAAAAAAACAAACCAAACTGAAACAAAAAAACCCAAACCCTGCCTCAGTTTATTGCCAAAACATAGTTTTGCCAAAGCAAATTTACATGGACTTCATGAACACAGCACCCCTTTTTTTTAAGTGCAAATATACTCACGAAAAGACATTCCCAATGTAGGCATAATATGAACAGCAGTAGGGAGTAGTCCCATCACAGCAGTAAGCCTTGCAGTCATTATCACACTGAGCCAAACAATCTTCTGCTGAATAAAAATAACACTCATGATGTCCAACATCAAAACCTTGTACAGCACAGCTCTGAAGAAAATGCAGTCTAACAGTTTCATACAATCACAGCACTGCCCCTGAGGTGCAATCTGACTCTGTAATCCTAAAGGCAGCCCATTCCCACTCATTCTGCATTTCAGACTTAGGTGCTTTCCATATGGGTATTCTGTAGCCAGCCATGTAATTTCCTCCTTATACTTAATCCTTTAAAGTTAAAAAGAACATTTTGAAATGCCAAGACACCAGAGACCAACTTTTTCCACCCCAGCAAGGAGTCCAGAAGAAACCTGACTCTGGGCTGCCTGTCTTGTGGACCTGGAGGGTGGCAGGAGGGAAGGAAGTTGTCTGAGAACAGGCTATTTCTCCCAGTCCCAGCTGGGGCTCCCTCATCCCTTGCCACCTGGCAGCAGCTGCCCTCACTGTGCTCCAACACCAGGGCCATGGCATGGCAGTGCCTGGCACAGGGGCCAGCAGGGCTCTCTCTGCCCCACTGAGGGCACTTGAAGCCACGAGTGATGCCAGCCACAATGCTCTGCTGGAAAAGCAATCTGTGAAACGACAATAAGAGAGCTCTTTACAATTAAGAAACGCAGAAGAGCATGTATCTTTTTCTTCCTATGAGAAGCTATTTTAGCAGTATCTACTTCTTGTGCTGCCATGACATTTAGTGTTTTCAAAGCCCTTAGTCAGGTTACCCCAAGAAGATAACACTGTACTGCCACTGCACTGTAAAAACATTCTTGGGGATCACCATCCCCACGTTTCAAGCTGCAGCCTGGATAAATTCAGAGAGACTCCGTGTACCATACACCATCACCCTTGGTGACCTATTTGGTCACATACTGCAGTGGCAGAGACTTGAAATCAAAGATGCCAAACCATGCTTCTGCATTCCCAATGCACTATAGCTCCCCTTTCCCAGGCTGCAACTCACCAGAGAGGTTCTAATTCTCCCACTGCCATTACTGCCTTTCATCTGTGCTGACCCTTTTGGTTGGCGTGCTGGGATCCGGGCAACCCTACCTCATCCCAGCTTCTGCCATGCTCCCGTTCCTGCCCCAAGTAGGTGAAAGTTCCCACCTTGCACTGAGACCCCTTTGCTCACTGACTCACGCTGCTGACCCATCTCACAGCCTGACTGCTCACAGGATTTTAGCAGCTCAGCTCTCTGAACCTGCTCACACTTGGTCTCTACCAAAATTAGAGAAGCCCTCGCTTGGTGAAAATGAGCATTAAGCAAGGGGTGTGCAACACAGCACATGGGTCAGCCTGGGCAGACGCACCCTAACCCTGTGAGATGACTCCTGGATTAAAGAAACACATGAAAAAAACAGGACAATCAACTCATCGTTCTGTCAACCAGCCCCGCCAACCAGCGAACCAGGGCAGCCAGCAGGACATCCGTCTCCAGAAGGAGAACAGCAGGCCATGGGGAGTACAGGCACTTCCATAGGAAGCAGCAATACAGGATGACTGACACATGGGACACCCCATACCAAGGCTTTGGCAGGGCTGCCATCTCAGGACACCCCATACCAAGGCACACCCCTGTGCCAGCAGCTCCAGGCTTTTGCAATGTCACCTCTTTTTTGGCGTGCGTACTGGTGGCTCCAGCTGTGCCATGCCAGAACACCTCCAGGCTCTGCCCTGGCGGGAGAGCACCAAGGTGCCTTCACCCTGCACATCACAGGTCTATCCTCCATGGGTGGGTTCACAGTGGATCATGGAACGGGTCAGGTGGGAGGGGACCACAGTGGATCATCTGGTCCAACCTGACTGCTCAAGCTGGATCATCCTAGAGCATGTGGCACGGCATTGCATCCAGACGGTTCCTGAGTATCTCTATTCAGGGAGACTCCACAACCACTCGGGGCCATCTGTTCCAGTGTGCGGACATCCTCACAGCAAAGTTCTTCCTCATGATCAGGTGTAACTCCCTGGGCATCAACTTCTGCACGCTGCCCACCCCCTCCACTGCTCAATACCGCCGAGCCTCTGCTCCATCCTCTCGGCACACCGCCTTCAGACATTTCTACACGAGGTCCTCTCTCAGTCCTGTCTTCCCGAGGTTTACCCTCCCTGCAGCCAGAGAGGGGCTCCCTCACCCCACACCCTGCCCGGGAGCGCTCTGCTGGAACACCCCGGGGAGCCCCTTCCCAATCCGCATGCCAATTCAATCGCCGGATTCAATCAGCTTCCACATCGGACCCAAACCGCCGGCCCCGCTCACACCCGCTGCCCGCAGCTTCGCGCCCGCCCCGCTGACCTGCCAGGAGGAGGAGGAGGAGGAAAGGGGGAAACAATGCCCCCCAGGCCGGGCACCGCTCCATGCCGGCTGCGTGCGCGGAGCCACCGTCCGCCTCATGGCGGGGGCGGGCCAGAGTGAGAAGGAGGGGAGGAGGGCAGGCGGGATCCGGGATCCAGGCGGGGCTCCTTGTCCCCTGTGGCCGCCTCCGAGCGGGGCCGCAGCCCGCGGAGTGGCGGCGGGCTTTGCTCTTCGCCATACTCCCCGCTGCCTTTGTGCTCCCCGCCGCCTCTGTGCTGCCCGGCGGGCTGCGAGAAGCGGCGCAGGTCTTGTTCGCCTTGGTCTTGCGGTCTTCGAGGGGGCTCCTGCCGTGGTTAAAGTCGAGATTGTCTTTAAAGAGGGATTGAAACTGTGATAGTTTGTAAACTGAGATCAGAGCCAGGGCCCGTTTGTAAGGCGGGCGAGCGGCGGTGCAGGGTGAAGCTGGTGCCGGGCCGGGCTGGGAGCACTCGGCTGCCGTGGGGCCCCGGCGTGTTCCCAAACCCCAGACGGGCTTGTCCATACTGCCCAGCAATAAAATGTTCCGTGACCAGGCCAGAACAATGCTCTTGAGTGATTTATGCTCTCAGGATTGATTTTTGATAACTATTTAAATGCTGCCATAACTCTCCCCCTGTAAAAATTTCCACAGATGGGGCCCAGAGGCCAAAGTGATTTGCTTTGTGGTCTCACAAAGCAGAAGGGTTAGCTCTGACTTTGCACGAAGAGCTGCAGGTCGAAGAATGCACTTTGAAGGCTGAAATATGCACACAAAAAATGAAAAACATCCACAGGTTTTTTCACTCATAAAAGGTCTCCTGCTGCTGGCAGCTCTAAGGGGAAGGCTGACACAGAAACATACAATGAATTGCTTTTTTTCAGGATTCAGCTATTCTACAATGACAACAACAAAACCCAAAGCACCACACCAAATCATTTGAAAGCTGGTGGTTTTATTTTTTATCAACACACAGCTGTTTTGTTTTTTTTTTTTCCAAATGTATGCCAGAACATGTCTGTTAACAAAGAAAAAGCAACTTTACATGTTCTTAACTACCCTGCAGTGTGTATCTCAGTCTATACAACAGCCCAAATGAATCCTATAAAAGGACAGTTCAGTTATATGTAGTTGCTCAGAGTAAAACTCAGACCGGGTAATTTCAAAGGATTTGCATCTGCTTCCTGTGTCTTACTCCAGTCACAAGTCACAACTGTATCTGAAAAAAGGCTTGAGAAAATAATACAGTTATGCCAATAGGTAGTATTGGTAGTAAAAGAACAAAAAATAGCAGATAAAGGAGACTTAAGATCTGGAGACAGCTCCCAGAAATTCAGACATCTCCAGCCCTTTCATTTTAATCATATTTGATCACCATGCCAGCCTGTCTCTAAACAAACCTTTTGTTGGTATTTGTGTTCTCCAGGTTTTGTTGTTGATTCCTTTCCTTGCAATCTCCTCCCCTTCCCATATGTCTTGGCAAGTCACATTTCAGTATTTCCCCAAAAAATGAGTAAAATTGCCCCCAGAGTTTTAAGCCAGCATGCTTGAATTCCATACTAATTTACACGTAACAACTTTATGGACCTTCTGTAGTTCTTTTTTTTTTTTTTTCCTGTCCACAGGGGACAAGTTGATCAAGCCTTTCTAACACTCCTCAATTCTAATTCTTGCTTCCTTGGACAAAGGACTGAAAGGTCCAGCTGACAAAGAGAATTGCATCTTCATGTTAATGTTGAAAACAATCCACAAGAAGCTTTAAATCCAAGGTTTTACCTTCTTCCTTCTGTGGATTTTTCATTGAAGAGAGAAGGGGGGGCGAGGGAGAATCACAAAATTTATCCTCTGGCATTGGGTTATAGCCTTTAACCAAGTCCCACGGGTAAGCAGCAGTAAGGGAGCCTGTCACAGGTTATCAGAGGCTGCTCTTACCCCCTGCCCAGGTAAGGACACCCAGAAGAGGAAGTGTGGCCGTGGGCCTGTCTGTCACTCCAGCTCTACGGTCTGCTCTGAAAATGAAGAAATCTGCTGAAAGAAGATATGCTTGTCTCCTACTCTTCCCCTCTCCACTGTTCCCAGCATCATGGTACACTTTTGTAGAAAGCAGAGAAGAAGGAGAACAATGTCAGGGCAGTGTCATCTGGTTCTGCTGGGCTGAGGTCCTTCTGGGACCAAAAACCATTTAGTTTTCTGAGAATAAGGTTTTGAAGGAAGACTAATTCATAGCAAAGAACATAAAGAGATTGGAGCTAAGGTTCTAGCTGCAACAAGACCCCTTATAAAACTCCATAACAGCATTTAGGAAGGAAGAAATAGCTTTTCTCTATTTAGGAAGGAGAAAATACTTATTCTCCTAATCCTTTTGTCCCTGGTCTATATCAAGGGGGAAAAGGATGCAACTGGGCTCTCCAGAAACAAGCCCAAGGGTGGTAAGCCAGAGTCAGGGGTGAAATCAGCAGCCCAGCTGAAGTGCATGTACACTGATGCACGCAGCATGGCTAACAAACAAAAGGAGGTGGAAGACATGGTACAGCAAGAGAGCCATGATGTAGTCACCATCATGGAAACGTGGTGGGATGACTCACATAACTGGAGTGCTGCAATGGATGTCTGCAAGCTCTTCAGAAGAGACATGAGAGGGAGAAGAGGTGGAGGGGTGGCTCTGTATATTAGGGAGGCTCTCAATGCCATGGAAATTGAGATTAATGATGATAAGGCGAGTGCCTATGGCTAAGAATTGGGGGAAGGCCAACAAGGCTGACATCCTGGTTGGAGTCTGCTACAGATCACCTAACCAGGATGAAGAGGTGGATGATTTATTCTGTAAATAGCTGGAGGATGTTTCAACATCACCAGCCCTTTTTCTTGTAACTTTAACCTGTCAGATGTCTGCTGGGAACTCAACACAGCAGAGAAGAGGCAGTCTAGGAGGCTCTTAGAGTGTGTGAAGGGCAACTTCTTGGAGAGCAAGCCTGCCTGGGGAGGAGCTATGCAAACCTGCTGTTTGCAAACAGAGATGGGCTGGTGGGAGATGTGGTGGTTGGAAGCTGTCTGGGGTGTAGTGACCATGAAATTACAGTTTTCAATATTTGGTGAAACAAGGAGGGGCATCAGTAAAACTTCCACACTGGACTTCCAGAGGGCAGACTTTGGCCTGTTCAAGAGACTTATTCAGATAGTACATTGGGAAGCAGCCCTTAAAAACAAAGGAGTCCAGGAAGGATGAACATGCTTCAAAACATAAATCTTGAAGGCACAGGGACAGACTGTCCCTATGTGCTGAAGGATAAGCCAATGAAAAAAAGACCAGCCTAGATGGGCAAGGAGCTTTTGAAGGACCTAAGGAAAAAAAATTAGGGCATATCACCTTTGGAGGAGGGTCAGGTATCTCAAGAAATGTTTAAGGGAGTTGCTAGGTCATGTAGGAAAAAAATTAGAGGCAAAACCCCATTTAGAACTCAATCTGATTTGAAGATGTTATTTATCTGTAATGAGATTAAATAAAAGTGGGCTAACCTGAGAACTGAGGAGATGGAGACAAAGAGAAAACTAGCACCTGCTGAGCCCAATACTGCAACACTGTATAAGTGTGTTTTCTTCTCATCACTGAGGCATAGATAAATGTATTTTATATTTAGGTTTTTCTTTGCATTTAAACCCGGGTGCCAACAAGCATTGTTTACAATTTCCAGAACTGAGATAATTTTACAGATTTTAATGTGTGAAGGGCAACTTCTTGGAGAGCAAGCCTGCCTGGGGAGGAGCTATGCAAACCTGCTGTTTGCAAACAGAGATGGGCTGGTGGGAGATGTGGTGGTTGGAAGCTGTCTGGGGTGTAGTGACCATGAAATTACAGTTTTCAATATTTGGTGAAACAAGGAGGGGCATCAGTAAAACTTCCACACTGGACTTCCAGAGGGCAGACTTTGGCCTATTCAAGAGACTTATTCAGATAGTACATTGGGAAGCAGCCCTTAAAAACAAAGGAGTCCAGGAAGGATGTACATGCTTCAAAACATAAATCTTGAAGGCACAGGGACAGACTGTCCCTATGTGCTGAAGGATAAGCCAATGAAAAAAAGACCAGCCTAGATGGGCAAGGAGCTTTTGAAGGACCTAAGGAAAAAAAATTAGGGCATATCACCTTTGGAGGAGGGTCAGGTATTTCAAGAAATGTTTAAGGGAGTTGGTAGGTCATGTAGGAAAAAAAATTAGAGGCAAAACCCCATTTAGAACTCAATCTGATTTGAAGATGTTATTTATCTGTAATGAGATTAAATAAAAGTGGGCTAACCTGAGAACTGAGGAGATGGAGACAAAGAGAAAACCAGCACCTGCTGAGCCCAATACTGCAACACTGTATAAGTGTGTTTTCTTCTCATCACTGAGGCATAGATAAATGTATTTTATATTTAGGTTTTTCTTTGCATTTAAACCCGGGTGCCAACAAGCATTGTTTACAATTTCCAGAACTGAGATAATTTTACAGATTTTAATATGCTCATATTTAAAAGGTCTGTTTCCTACAAGAGCTGCTTTTTCTGTTGCCTTCTTTAAGGCCAGGGTTTCTTGCTCAGTCTCTTCTTTGAATTCTACAAAAAAGGCCATCACCATCGTCCTCCTAGTTTCAAAAATGCTTCCTGTCTAAATCGTGTGCTCCACAAAAGCCTTTAAAAAAAACTGTAACAAATCCTGTTGGGTTATGCTGAGAGAGGTCAATATTAAAATGTTTTACTTGTTTGTCAGAAATAACTACTTTTCCTCCTTTTGACAGTAAATTACTTGACTACTTGTTGTAAGCCATTTACAGGTATCTGAGATATGATGAAGTGGGCATTTGTCAGTTTGGGCTTACTCTTCTGTACAAAACTGTACAAAACTAAAAATATTAAAACCTTTTTTGTATTTCTATGAATAGTCTCATCACGTCATCTAGTGTGGGAATAGTTGTGTGACAAAGTTAAACTTCTGAACACAAGAATTTCTGGGTCAAAACCTAAAAGTTAGAACTTTTCCCAGATTGTTTACTTTTGCAGATCACTGCTCTGGGACTAATAGATTTACATGGTGGTCCTGAATGTTTTTTAGAAAATGACACTATTTAAGTTTCATTTTAAAGCATTTTTAAATTGCATACATAACACACAAAATTATAATAAAAACATTATTGAAATCTCTAGAAATTATTCAGAAAAGATCACTTACTAGTTTTGATGTTTTCAAAACTGATATATGCTGAGAACATGCTTAAACAGGGTTCATAAGCCCATCCTTAATCACAGAATCCAGAATGGTTTGGGTTGGAAGGAATCTTAAAGATCATCTTTTTCCACCACCCTGGCCATGGGCAGGGACACCCTTCACTAGATCAGGTTTCTCCAAGACTTGTCCAGTCTGGTCTTGAACCCTTCAAGGAATGGGGCAGCCACAGCTTCTCTGAGCAGCCTGCATCAGTTATTGGTTCACTTCAAAGGAAGAAAACATGTGCAAGTATTTGCTGAATAAGAATTAATTTCATTCATAAA